CCTTGTGCATGTGAGGCAAGCACTCTACCAACTCATCGATATTTCTTGAGATAGGGATGACGTGTATCCCAGGTCCTGTTTATCGTGCTGACCTGCCTAAAGATGTCTGTGGCTGGTTTAACTTGCGTATTTGCCTTATCTTTGTTGGGACCTGGTGCTCCCTGCCTGAATCTGTTGTAACACAACTCTGCAGGTATTTGCAGACTTTTCTGAATCTGGATCTCATCCTCCATTCCGCCACTGGCCAGTACTGTCTACTCCACAGCCTCAACTGCAGGGTCACTTAGCCCTCAGCCAGGATAGGTTTCCTTCCTGGATTTCCCTATTATGGAATACAGCCCCTTTAGCTCACCTATTGTAGTGGCACCCCCTCCTCCACAGAAAATCTTAACTAAGCTTCTCCAGAAGTATTCACCATAATTGATCTTAGGACTATCAGCACAAAAATCTCTACAAAAGAATTCAGTGCGTTGAACCTGTGATGCAAAGAAAAGACAAACATCTCCAGTTTCAAACCAAATGAAAGCAAGCTTATCAACAACTGCCTCAACTAAGGCCATGCCAGAGGACAGTATCTGATCTAAGAGCAGGGATGTTTTCATAGCAAAAACAGTTACAAAGGCTGGTGTCTTGGAGACTTACAGCTAACAGAGTTCTGGCAAGTGTAATACAAGGGCAGAAATCAGGTTAATGGTCTACATGGCTTAACATTTCAAGGTAGGGAGTAAATTTAGATATCAACCTCAAAATTTATGATGAGCCACTGAGGTTTTAGGGAGGGTTGTTATCTGGTCAAGGAGAGCCAGGCATGGGCAAGTTCAGAGCATGGGCAGGAATTCCAAACAAGTTTAAACATCAAAGTATGATCAGGCCAAACAGAAATGTTAGTAAAACAGAAATGAACTTTTCATGACTTTGTGATGAGATGGCTCCCAATCTTCAGTTGGAATTAGGTTGGGTTCATCAAATGTAGTTAGATTTCTTATTTCCTGTTGCTCTATCTTACTTGGCCTGGAAGAGATCAGCACTCCAGGTGCTGAACGCCCCTTTACTAGGATTTCACAAATATTTATGGACTATCTAATGTAAATAACAACATATGTAATAGTTTGTAGAAGTGTGCTTGCAAATACAGAGTGTGATAAGAAAAACAGATTATTTTAACTAGGTCCCTGGCCTTGGACTGGAGCTTCACAGAGATGTTTAAGTTTCAAAGATAAGAGGTTACTAATTGGGCTCCCTGGTAAGAGCTGGCAGGGGGAGGAAAGAAAGGGGAAAAGAAGCTCTCCCCTTCTCAGGAGCTGTCCTTGAAAGGTTAACTTGCCCAGAACAGTGAAAGAAAAAGCTGCATTTGTGTGAAATTCTGCAGACTGTGAACTTCTGAGCCCCTCACCTTACATGCTGGGTATAAAGTTCTGAAACTGCCTAAACTAAGGGTTCAGGGGGATTCATTGATTACAGGAAAAGTTGTACCCTCTGAACCTGGCTGCAGCCAAATAAAACTGTTTCCTGTTATCTTAGATGTCTTGTTTGTCTGTCCCCTGCAACACTACAACACAACAGAAACCCAAATCAACAAAATTCTGAAACTGCACTCATCTCTCTGACCAAGCAGTTAGCTATTTCACCTTTCAAGTTAAATTTGAGTCCCAAATTTGAAAGGGGAATAAATTCTTATGTTTAGAACTCCTCGCACTGTCCTGACATTACTTCTCATGCCTAGGATAAGTTTATGATTTGTTCAAGAAGTCATTGTGGAAGTGTAGGTATCTGTTCATGTCTGTAGTAGGATCATTTTCATCAGGTAACATCTTGCACGTCTCCTTCATATTTATCAGACACGTGTCACTTAAAACAGCAATAAAATAGTTTAATGATAAAGAAGAGAGGCAGAACAGGGCAAGGTATTCCATATGGCGTCAAAACACACACACTCAGAATCCCACAAGAGTTACTGTGGGAAACACGCATTGCAAAAATACTTGTAGTGATGAAGAGAGATTGTTCAGAAATGCAATGCACCAGGACAAGGAAACAAGAAGTCACAAATGACCCGTTAATTAATATCAAACAAATAGTTGTGGTTCCTCGATTCATGGTTGTTTCTGTTCTTATATCAACCGGAGATTTAGCTCTGAACTAGGGAGCAATAGAAGACCCACCAACCAATGAATAAATGCATCCGGACTGTGAAAAGTGTCAAGAACAGAATAATCTAGGAGCTAGTCTAGAAGTAACTAGCTTACACAGGGTGCACAGGAGAAGTGTCCCTGAGAAGGTGAATGATGGAGCACAAGCTCTAAGACTGGTAGGAAGACTGCTTTCTCTAGTCTGTTACTCTAATCTCTTCCATCCTCTTCCCATTAGCTGATTCTTTCACATCTTCAAGTATATACTTACAGCAATGATTGCTCCAAACTTTTTGGTACCTATTTTCTGTACTATTAAGCTTTTTGTTACTATAACAAAATACCTGTGGCTAAATTAAAGAGAAACACTTTATAGTACATTATATTTCTGGAGAGTCTAGTCCAAAAATCACAAAGTGGCATATTGTTAGGCCTCTGGTAAGGGCAGCACACCAACATGGGAGAAGCAGAACAGCTTACATCACAATACAGAAGTGATTGATAGAGGAAGAGGAAAGCAGCAGGGTCTCACATTCCCTCAGGAGCATGTCCTGCATGACCTAAATACCTCCCATGAGGCCCTACCACCTACCAGTAATCCACCCTGGGAGGGAATACTTTAACCCAGGGAACTTTGCAGGACCCCCATCCCAAGCCTGGGGCTTTTCCTTCAGGTGTTCTTTCATTTCCTACAGCTCATACAGTAGTCCCTGTGAGGGAAAAAAGGCAATGTCACAGTAAGCAAGCACAAAAGGCAAGAACCTGAGAACCAAGACTACCGCACTAGAGTGACAGGAAAACAGGCCTGTTCCCAGATGGATCATATGTCTGAGGCCTCACTAGCTACCTAGACAGTGGTGCCCTGGGGTCTGAGGCAGGGGTTGCTGTGTTGTTGCAGTTCCCTCTGAATGCTCTGTTCTTCTATGCTTTCTAACTTCTCCTCCCTCGACCTTCCTCTACAGCTGCAATCCCTTCCCCAAAGAGAAAGACAAGAGTTGACTAGGACCCCCAAGCCAGGAGAGGATGGCACAGTGGCAAGGGAAGCCTTCACTAGAGTGCTGCATCTTCAGCTATGGAGTCCAGGGCCTCAGCAGGGGCCCCTATGTTTGATCCTGAAAATTTTAAGCCTTTTAGCTTTTATAACCTTAGCTCTTATGTCTAATCCTATGAAGCATTTTGATTTAATTTTTGTATGTGAAGTGAGATAAAAGTTGAAGAATATGGTTACTTAACTGCCCTCCTGCCCAGCCCTAAATGTTACCCCCACCAAAACTCCTCCTATGGCCTGGACCTGTCCCCTGCCCACCAAAGGGCCTGCCAAATATAACTAACTTTTTCCATGAACTTATAAAGGCTGCATATATTCCCAGAACCTCGTAGTGGCCAGAAGCCATTTTACCCCTGAAAATGAGCCACATCAGGTGTTTGTCTGATTGGCTCCACCACTGAATGAAGTAGACCTTGCTGATTCAAGGTCTGTTTCCTGCCTCCCACCTTCAATATTTGTGCCCCATGTGCTTTCAAAAGTTTAGCTTCATTTGTTTATATGTCAGTGACCAACTATTCCAGCATTTTTACTTGAATAAAGCACCATTCCCTTTGAATTGCCTTGGAATCTTTGTGCAAAATTAAATTTAACATAAATGCACGGGTCTAGGTTTAAACATTTGATTTTTCTCCCATGTCAATATCACACAGTTCTGCCTATCACTGTTGTAAAATATGTCACAAAAATTGTTTATGTGAGGACTCCAACATTCTTTTTTCCCCCAACATTCTTTACCTAGTATAACATTGTATCCCCTGAAAGTAAAGAAAAAAATATCTGAATATAGTTATTATTTGGAAGTGGCAAAATCATTGTAAGAGTCATAAAATCCAAATGACAAAAACAGAAGCAGGGAAGGAAATTACTGAACAAAGCATGTGTAAAAATAGGTATTGAGGGGCTGAGGTTGTGGCTCAGCAGTAGAGCACTTCCCTAGCACAGGGGAGTCTCTGGGCTTGATTCTAAGCACCACATAAAAATAAACAAATAAAATAAACATATTGTGTCCAACTTCAACTAAGAAAAATTTTAAAAATAGGTATTGAGATCCTTAAGAGCTACTGCTATAACAGTGGGTCTTTCAGAGATAAATATATGTGTAAAGGTAGCCTGTCTATCCTTCATGCTCCTGGAAGAGAATGAACAATTGGGAAGGAAAATCCAAAGGACTGTGTAAGCCCATCCTATCCTCAGGACAGGGTCTTTGCTGAGGTCACAGTGGCCCAGACCACCCTTGCAGTGGATGACTCAGTGCTCATGTGCCTTACTGTGAGTGTCATTATTGTGCATGCACTCTGCTGTCCTCTGGCTGGTTTGCAGGTACTCTTCCTTTCTGTAGTCTTTGTTTTCTCTACCCAATTGACTCTTTGGGTGAGTCCTTAGAGTAGCCATCCCAGGAGCATGAGTGTGAGCGAGAGTGAGGGGTGCCAGAGAGCATGCAGCAATTCCAGGGGCTCGCTCCATGGCCAGGCAGTTGGAAGGACTTTGAGGTAGTTGTGCTTCTCTCAGGTGCTTCTGCCCTGTCACCATGAGCCGTGGTCATGTTTGCTGTAATTCCTAACCTTGGACCCACATGAAGGAATGCTTATCTTGCTCATTGTGCAACAGGGGAGTCTTAACATAGAACGCGATGTTTTGGGACAAAGTGCTGTCAGAACTCTGGCAAACACAATTTCCTTGTTCCTTTGACAAGAAGTTACTTATTTCTCTGTTGGTGCAGGGTCAGGCTACGTGGCAGTTTCTGGACTCTTGGTGTCCTGACTTACGTAAGATGATATGTATGTATTACCCCTGGCCTATCATGACTGCTATATGTAAATTAGCACATACCCACTATAAAAGCTATTCTTGCTGTGCAATACAGCAGACACAGTTCTCTGAAAGCTCAGGAGTGGTTCCTCCGTGCCCTCAAGCTCTCCACAGTGGATATTGGAGAGATAAGCTCCCCAGCGCACGTTGAAGGCACTAAGAAGGTAGGACGGTGGGTCTTGGAGAATGGGACGAGTGTTGTGGGTGATGTTGGAGGTATATAGGTCCTGGATGATGCTGCACAGCACATGAGACAGATTTCCAAGTTCTCAGTGGGGACAGGGCAAGGTGCACAGCATGGTGAGGGAAGGTTCAGGAAAGGGGGACTCTGTGGGTATGAGATTGCGTCCCTGAGAAGTGTAGAGCACCCAGTGAGGGGTGCATCCATTGCTCTGTAGTGCACATTCTCACCTCTGACATGTACTGTGCAGAAACAGCCCTAGAGGGTAGCAGGAAGGAATGAGGGAGGCAGTGCGTTCCAGCAGAAAGTTACTTTAGGGGCAGATGGGCCAAGTTAATGTGGCTGTGACAAAAGCAGTAGGCATTCTAGCTGCAGTTGTCTGGTGGTGCTTTCCTAAGTGTCTGGATGATAGAGAATCTGGTTGCCTAAGGAACCTCAGTGAAATGTCTTCCATCTGTTGCCACATGACTTAAGACAGTTTGTTTGCTGGCATGACCAACATACAGGGCTTTACATACACTTGGGAAACATAGACACTCTTGGACATGCTTTTAAAGCATTTTCGAAATTTTAAAGCATTATAAGCTTACCTTTGGCCATAAACATGATGATGTATGTATCTATTCTCTTAAGTGCCTTTTGCAAATCACATTATTCTGCTTTCAGTATAAAATGAGTGAGCAAATGAGATCAAGATCTACATCCATGGGAAGAAGAGATGAAGAATCTTTTCAGCTGATTGAGCCTTTGGTTGTAAGTGCTTCAAAATTTAATGTTTCCTTTTAACAGAAATTTATTTCTGTGAAAATGTTGATAAGCGTAGTTACACTGAAAAAGTTCATCTTAGATGATAAAGGGTGAAAATTGACCTCATAGAGGAAGCAGTGAGGATTCTGGAGGATTCCACTGTACTATGTCCAGGAAGAATGCTGTTACATTCCCCACAAATAAACCGGATAAGTTCTTTCTTGCTTACTAACAATAGATCCTTCCCCACATAGATTAAATATCTTCTAAAATTATTGTTATGTGACTCACCTGAGATAGACCTCTGTATGATAACGGTGACTGTATTAAAGACAACTGTATAGAATCCTATTTAAATAGTTCAGACTTCAATGAGATTAAATATATCTACATAGTATGTATAGTTATTATATGTATTAACAAAATTTTAATTTGCACATGTATACACATTTCAATAGGATGAGTGGTGTAGTGATGATTCAGCTCTACAAGAGATATCACTAAGTGAAACTTGGGATATTTTATCTGGTCAGGAGATAGAAGATGAAGAAGAACCTGAGGATCAAGGTGAAAAAAGGGGAAGAAAATGTCTGTGGGGTTTCAGGTGTATGCATGCATCATGTTTAATGGCAACTCCAGTAACTGTAGGAAAAAACATAAACATTTTTTTTTTTTTTTGAGAATTATGTGTGCTTTTTTAACCTCCCTTGCTAGGGCTCTATATTAGCAAGTTCAAGGAACTAATGTTTAAGTTTAGTCTTAAAATTATAAGTTCTTACTCACTGCATATATGTATAAACATCATTTCACATTTTCACACATGTAGAGTGTTAAGTCACTGTCCTTCCAGAACTCACAATAAGGTGTGGTTACATAGAAATATTAACTCCTTTTCTAGATGAGAAAATGGAGTCTCAGCTATTCTGTCTTACCACAAAATACTTGGCTGGTAGAGACATATTCATATTTCATTATATATTCCCATTATCTATTCTTTGTGAATGCTTTTGCTTAGAACTGATTAATACTCAAATATTTACAAAGTCAAATCTCTCAGTACAGGCCCTAGAAAGAGCTCAATGAATGATAGCCACTGTTTCTATTGACTGGCATTTTTCTCTTTTACAGTAAATTTGGTAAAATCTGGGTAATTTAGTATACTGGCATGCAAGTAGCTATAATGTTGTGATTTCTATGTGTTTTTTAAAAGACATTTAAATATATTTAGGATAAAAAATTAAAATGTTTCCAAGATTTTCATAAAGCAAAAATTATTTCCTTTTAAAAAATTTGTTTATTCTAATTTATTTTACAGGACAACAGAATGCATTTCAATTCATAGTACACATATAGAACACAATTTTTCATGACTTTGGTTGTTCACAAAGTAGTCACACCCCATTCATGTATTCATACATGCACTTAGGGTAATGAAGTCCATCTCATTCCACTATCTTTCCTATCCCCATGGCCCCTCGATTCCCCTCCCTCTTCTTTGCTCAACTAATTAATGTATGCCCATTCCTCCCATACTAACCCACTCCCATCCTCATTATGTATCAGCATCCACATATCAGAGAAAACATTCGGCATTTGGTTTGGGGGGATTGGCTTACTTCAATTAGCATGATATTCTCCAGCTACATCCATTTACCTGCAAATGTCATGATTTTACTCTCTTTTAATGCTGAGTAAAATTCCAGTGTGTATAGTTACCACGGTTTCTTATCCATTCATCTATTGAAGGGAATCTAGGTTGGTTCCACAGTTTAGCTATTGTGAATTGTGCTGCTATAAACATTGATGTGGCTGTGTCACTGTAGTATGCTGTTTTTAAGTCCTTTGGGTGTATAATGAGGAGTGGGATATCTGTGTCATTGGTGGTTTCACTCCCATGTTTTCTGAGGAATTTCCATACTGCTTTCCATATTGGCTGCACCAATTTGCAGTCACACCAGCAATGCATGAGTGTACCTTTACCCCCACATCTTCACCAACACTTATTTGTTGTTTGTATTAATAGTTGTCATTCTGACTGGAGCGAGATAAAATCTTAGTTTTGATTTGCATTTCTCTAATTGCTAGAGATGTTGAACCTTTTTTAAAATAATCTGTTGACTGATCGTATATCATCTTCTGAGAAGTGTCTGTTCAGTTCCTTGGCCCATTGATTAGTTGGGTTATTTGGATTTTTGGTGTTAAGATTTTTGAGTTCATTATATATCCTAGAGATTAGTGCTCTATCTGATGTGTGTGTGTGGTAAAAAATTTGCTCCTAAAATGTAGGCTCTATGTTTACCTCACTGATTGTTTCTTTTGCTGAGAAGAAGCTTTTCGGTTTGAATCCATCCCATTTATTGATTATTGATTTTATTTCTTGTGCTATAGAAGTCTTATTAAGGAAGTCAGGACCTAATATGATGTGAGGAATATTTGGGTATGCTTTTTCTTCTATTTGGTGCAGTGTCTCTGGTTTAATTCCTAGGTCCTTGGTCCACTTTGAGTTGAGTTTTGTGCATGGTGAGAGATAGTGATATAATTTCATTTTGTTGCATATGGATTTCCAGTTTTCTGAGTACCATTTTTTTTGAAGATGCTATCTTTTCTCCAATATATGTTTTTGGCACCTTTGTCTAATATGACATAACTGTAGTTATGTGGGTTTGTCTCTGTGTCCTCTGTTCTGTACCATTGGCCTACAAGTCTATTTTGGTGCCAATATCATGCTGGTTTTGTTACTCTTGCTCTGTAGTATAGTTTAAGATATGGTAAAGTGAGGCCATCATGCTTCATTCTTCTTGCTAAGGATTGTTTTGGCTATTCCGGGTCTCTTATTTATCCAGATGAATTTCATGATTGCTTTTTCTATTTCTATGAGGAATGTCATTGTGATTTTAATTGGAATTAAATAAAATTTGTATAGTGCTTTTGGTAGTATGGTCATGTTGACAATATTAATTCTGCCTATCCAAGAACAAGGGAGATCTTTCCAAAGCTTCCAAGGTCTTCTTTAATTTCTTTCTTTAGCTTTCTGTAGTTTTCATTGAAAAGGTCTTTCACCACTTTCATTAAGTTGACTCCCAAGTATTTTATTTTTTTGAGGCTGTTGTAAATGGGGTGGTTTTCCTATTTTCTCTTTCAGTGGGTTTGCCACTGATGTACAGAAATGCCTTTAATTTCTGGGTATTGATTTTATATCCTGCTACTTTGATGAATTCATTTATTAGTTCTAGAAGATTTCTGGTGGAATTTTTTGTATCCTCTAAGTATAGAATCATGTCATTAGCAAAAAAGTGATAGTTTGAGTTCTTTCCTATCCATATCCCTTTAATTTCTTTGGTCTGTCTAATTGCTCTGGTTAGAGTTTCAAGAACTATGTTTAGTAGAAATGGTGAAAGAGGGCATTCCTGTCTTGTTCCAGTTTTTAGAGGGAATGCTTTCAATTTTTCTCCATTTAGAATGATGTTTGCCTGGGGTTTAGCATAGATAGCTTTTACAACATTGAGATATGTTCCTGTTATCCCTAGTTTTTTTTCCTAATTGCAGATTGACCTGTATTTTATTTATTTATTTATTTTTGTGTGGTGTTGAGGATCAAACCCAGTGCCTCAGACATGCTAGGCAAGTGCTCTACCACTGAGCCACAACCCCAGCCCCTATCCCTAGTTTTTCTAGTGTTTTGAACATGAAGGGTGCTGTATTTTGTTGAATGCTTTTTCTGCATCTATTGAGAGGATCATGTTTCTTAAGTTTAAGTCTATTGATGTGATGAATTACATTTATTGATTTCCACATGTTGAACCAACCTTGCATTCCTGGGATGAACCCCACTTGATCGTGGAGCACTATCTTTTTGATACTTTTTGTATTCGATTTGTCAGAATTTTATTGAGATTTTTTGCATGTATGTTTATCAGGCATATTGGTTTGAAGTTTTCTTTCTTTAATGTGACTTTTTCTGGTTTTGGAATCAGGGTGATACTGGTCTCATAGAATGTGTTTGAAAGTGTTACCTCTTTTTTTTCATGAAATAATTTGAGGTGTATTGGTATTAGTTTTTCTTTGAAGGTCTTGTAGAATTCAGCTGTGTATCCATCTGGTCCTGGGCTTTTCTTGGTTGGTAGGCTTAAGATGGCATCTTCTATTTCATTGAAATTGATCTGTTTAAATTGTGTATATCATCCTGATTAGTTTGGGCAAATCATAAGACTCTAGAAATTTGTCAATGTTTATATTTTCTATTTTATTTAAGTACAAATTTTCAAACTAATTTCTAATTATCTTCTGTAGAGTCCATCGTGATATTTCCTTTTTCATCAAGGATGTTAGTAATTTGAGTTTTCTTTGTCCTTCTCTTTTTTAGCATGGCTAAGGGTTTATCAATTTTATTTATGTTTTCAAAGAACCAACTTTTTGTTTTGTCAATTTTTAAAAATTGTTTCTTTTGTTTCAAATTTATTGATTTCATCTCTGATTTTAATAATTTCCTGTCTTCTACTGCTTTTGGTGTTGGTTTGTACTTCTTTTACTAGGGCTTTGAGATGTAATGTTAAGTCATTGAGTTTTTCTTCTTTTGAAATGAACTCCATGCAATGAACTTTCTTCTTAATACTGCCTTCATAGTGTTGAGAGATTTTGATATGTTGTATCAGTGTTTTCATTTACCTCTAAGAATTTTTAAATCTCTTCTTTTATGTCTTTTGCAACCTATTTTTCATTCAATACCACATTATATAGTCTCCAGGTGTTGGAGTAACTTCTATGATTTTATCAGTGATT